CCCGCCGCTTTCCCCGGCTGACACAAGCAGCATTGGCCGCTCTCAGCAGCGGCTTGTCCTGGAAAGCTGGGCTGGCTCCCTGCTCCCATCAACCCTCCTCCCTCGCAAGATTTAACTCACTGCATTGGGCAGCCCCTCGCCCCCGCCCCCGGGACACCGGCTGCCGCTGGAAAAGCTGTAGCTGAACAGTGCCGGAGAGGAGGAGACGAGAGGAGAGGAGAGGGACTTTGCAGAGGCACAGGCACAGCACGGGGCTGGCGGCTATAGCTGTAGTACGGGTTTCCTTCGCGTTATGCACATACGTGCTGTACGTGAACGGCGCGTATCTCGCACGGGCGTGAAGGGAGCCCACTTGACAGTGTCACACGCGGGGGGGATACGGTCCAGGACCTCGGCTGTGCTGATCCCCAGACCCATTTCTACCGCTTTCACAAGACAGTTTTGGTGCTCGCCAACAGCAGACAGTGCACACGTCAGAGACCGTCCGAGCAGGATGCGGGGCCCAGGGCAAAAAAGCCTGTGCAGGCCCCAGCCCGAGACACGAGGAAGTCAGCAGCAGATTTGGAGGGGAGGGGGTGCCGGGCGGCCAGGCATGAAGCTGGCCGCAGTGCGGAGTTGCCACAGCCGCTCTGCCTGGCTCCGCGGGGCCCCACAAAGCGCTGGGCCCAGGGCGGTCACCCCAATTTGCCCCTCCCCAGGGATGGCCCCGCACACAAGCACAGGGTGGGGTGAATGTTTAGTTGGTGTGAAGAGAGGGTGGTGAAGGGTGTTCAGTGTCAGACTCCACATCACTGGTAGGACGTGCGGCAAAGTTATATCCATAGGAGATAAGCGAGCCGGACGCTTAGAAGACATAATGGGCATGGCAACTACAGAAACACGTGTCGCAGACAACTAGAGAGGAGCACAGATCTGCACAGGAGACTATATTTTGGTACGGGTCACTCCCACAATGCACTGCACAAAGCAGCTGACTGCAGGTTTCCACCACACCAATCACATAAGAGTGAATTTACCTAGCATATAATGAATTCTTGGTATAAAAAGGGTCATCGCATAAGAGTGAATTCGCACATACAAAACCCGCATAAAGCAAGGGAAACCTGTATTAGGAGTGTCGCCAACAGATCAAGGGACATCACACCTGGAGTCCTGTATCCAGGTCTAGGCCCCTCCCTGCAGAAAGGATGTGGATGAATTGGAGAGAGTCCAGTGGAGGGGGTTGGGGCACGTGACTCCCAAGGAGAGGCTGAGGGAACTGGGCTTATGTAGTCTGGAAAAGAAAAGCCAGGGGGCGGGGAAGGAGGTTAATAGCAGCCTTCAACTACCTGAAGGGTGGTTCCAAAGAGGATGGAGCTGAACTGTTCTCAGTGGTGGCAGTGACAGAACAAGGAGCAACAGTCTCAAGTTGCAGCAAGGGGAGTTTAGGTTAGATATTAAGTAAACCTCTCTCAGGAGGAGGGCAGTAAAGCACTGGAACAGGCTATCCAGCAAGGTGGTGGAACCTCCATCCTTAGATGTTTTTAAGACCCCCAGGTACACAAAGCCTTGGCGGGTGATGTTAAAGTAGGGCACCATCCTGCTTTGAGCAGGGGGTCGGAGTAGATGACCACCTGAGGTTCCTTCCAACCCTAATTTTATATGATTGTATGGCAGCAACTGTACTCTATGCTTCAGGCCTGCTTGGGGCCCTTTAGTTCTCATTTGCCCCAAATCTTCATTCTTTGACACTGACGAAGTGCATGGACACTTGATGGGAACCCCAGGGCATTATCTGAAGCTTCTAGTCATCACAGCTATCAGATCAACTCACTTTTGTATCAAAATCAACTTTGAGTTTGGAGGTCAAGTTTCTTCTGAGTGACACACAGTTCCTCTTACTCTGAATGGTAGCTAAGAGACTTCAAATAGTTCACAAAACATCTACAAAATGTTTCCAAAAAAAGCTTCCAGATTTCAAGATCCACACGATGGTGCAGGGAAGCAGGATGTTGGCTGCCATGGTTCCCCTCCCTTTATCTGTGGCAGGTTAGGATATTATGTCTGTGCTGAGTCAGGATTAATGGTAATTTTGCATAGAGTTTAGATCATGGATTGCATAGGATGGCTTGAGTAGGGATGATCCTGCCTCAAGCAGGGAGTTGGACTAGATTTCTGGAGGGCCCTTCCAGGCCTACTTCTATATCTCTATGAAGACTTGGGAAAGTAATGAACACCATGAAAGCAAAGCTTGATCAGTTCATACAACAGATAGACCCCCAAAATTGAAGATATGCAACTTTAGTTATATCTAAGAGCAGATTACATTTTTTCCAATATTCAGTGCCCTGTTCTTTTTCCAACTTCTGTATCTCAGACTTCTTTTGCAGCCAATATTTCTACCAGTTTGAATTCAGTTTTAAAATAAGCTTTGTTAAGCCAGGCCTAATTCCAGTGAAGGCATTCTCCACTGATTCATAACTCCCTTCATTTGATGGTTTAATGTAAGCAAGTTATAAATCTGTTCAGGTGGATCACACCAGTTAACTAAAACAACTTATTTAATAAGCTGCAAGCTGTGTGTGCAGACAAGACTTTAGGCACCTGCTTCCTGTATATTTTCTCTTCCCCTCCTCTACCTCCTTCTAAACTTTGGTCTCCTGTTTCTGTTTCTGCACTTTCTCCTCCCTAGTGAAACATCACATACCAAATAGTAAACAAAATTTGGAAAGAATTCAGAAATCAAATTATATCCAGTTTTGTGCATTTCTCTGTAGTGCTTTGCCATTTCAAAGCAGAATGAAAACATATCAGGATATCAAGAATTCAGTTGATAAAGAATTAAAATGTTACAATAGGTTGATTGCCAAATAGGTTATTCAACATACTGTAAGCTCTTTAAGGCAAGGCAGTC